TTTTTTTTTTTTTTTTTTTTTTTTTTTTGGTACCAGGGATCGAACTCAGTTCCTTGCGCTTTTGAGGCAGTCGCCAGAAACACTGAGCTAAATCCTCAGCCCAACCCAAATATTTTTCCATCAATAGGGATTTGATTCCAAGGTTTAGAAAAAAAGACATTATTTCTAATTCCAAGTCTGGAGGAGTAGAAAATATTTATCCTCTTCTCCTTTAGTCTTCACAGAAGGGGGAGAAATTATTTTTACCTTATAGTAAGGTGGCATCATTTCACTCCAGGTAACTACTCAATCCCCTCTCTATGAGGAAGGTGAATTTGGGAGAATTCAGTGGGCAGAGTTGATTTCTGCCTTTCTGTCTGTCTATCTGCCTCTCTTCTGCCTGTCTGCCTGTCTGTTTGTCTGTGGAACTTGTGGAATCAGCCTAAAGTCTAGAAGTCCCTTTCTCCCTCTGCAGCCACTGAACACCTTGCCCTGCAGCACAGGATTGTGGCTGAGGAGCTCGCCCCTGCTGCCCTGCATGCTCTCATCCACAGGTGCAGGGAGACACACATCTGTTCATAGCTCTATTTAATCCATGCATACTCTGCACAACAAACATTAACTATTACTTAATATGCATATCAATGTAGTACACACTGAATATGCATATTTCATTTTCTTATTTTCCAATGGAATTCTAACCCATGAAGGTAAAGGAGAGGGGATTTTCTTCTTCATCACACTCATGCAGGATGCTACAACTTCGCACCTCTCTGAACATTTAGTTCCTTAAATATTCCCTGAATACGTAAATAGGATTTATGTCAGTCAGTTCTGCATTTTGTATCACCATAAAAGCGTGGAACTTCTATTTCCATTTTTTTTAATACGCTGAACTATAGCCCATCCCTTTTTTCTTTTTTGAGATGATGTTTTCCTAAGTTGCTAAATTTCCCACACTATGCTCAGATTTACAATTCTCCTGACACAGCCTCCCAGAGTTCAGTATTTAATTTATTAAAAAAATATTGCTGGGCATGGTGGCACAAGTTGGATACCCAGCAGTCGGGAGGCTGAGGCAGGAGGATTGTGAGTTCCAGGCAAGCCTGAGCTATATAGTGAGTTCAACGGCATCCTGGACTGTAGAGTGAGACCCTGTTCCAAAAGCACTGAGCATCAAAGCACTTAGGGTGAGGCAGACAGATCGGAATTGAACTTGAATCTGATCCACAGTTTACAGAGTCATGAAGAAACAAGTTGCTAAGCTGGTGAATCGGGTCTGAACTGTGACGGGCACGGTGTCCTTTCCTATTGGAAGGCAGCATCTTGATTTTGGGGCTTTTGTGATGTGACTAAGTACCTGAAACTACAGTAGCATGTGTTAAGAAAATGTCTAAGGATGCCAAAGGGTACAAAGAAACCAGTGCCAGTCCCTGTCAACACTGCCTTGCCTGCCTTGGCTTGGTGCACAGCACTGCAACTTGTGGAGATGTAGCTATGTCTTTGCCACTGTCTTTGTTGGGAGATCAAGTTGGTTTACTGGGAGAGTGTGGGTGTCACGTGGTCTTGCGCTGGTAGGTGGTGGGCACCAGCTTAACCGGACAGAGAATATTCGGATCTGTCTGTGGCATGCTTCCGGAGAAGACTGGCACATGAGCTGGTGGGCAAAGTGAGCAAGACCCACTTCAGTGTGGTTGGAGCCCACCTGGTCACCAAGGGCCTGGATGGAACCAAAAGGTGGAGCACAAATTCTTGCACTGTGCTCTGGAGCCCCGATGTCTTGTTCCCTCTCCCTCTTTCTTCTTGCTACACTCTCTAGCTTCTGGACTGCAAGACTCACACTAGTGGGCCACGGAGGCTCTTAGGCCTTTGGCCTTGGACTGAGAGTTACATCGCTGCTTCCTTGGGCCTGGGACCTTCAGACTGGGGCCGAGCTGTGCTTCCACCTTCCCCGGTCTGTTGCGGGACTAGGCCCACGCAGAGTGGCTCAGTCCCCTAACTGATCCCTTCTCATATTCACACATGGCAGGTTCTTTGGAATTATCAGGTGCTAACTGATGGAAGCAAGTGGGAGAGAAGTGTTCCAGGAAGGAATATTCCCTCCTCCAAGGCAATGAGCAAAGACAGGAAATGTTGCAGTCTGCCCCACTCCTTCCAAACAAAAGCACGGTCAGTGCCCCTGCTCACATCTATCAGCCACCATACTACAGGACTCACTAGTGATTAACACTGACTGTTAACATCTGCCTCCCCTTGAGCTGTATCTTTTGCGCGCTGCTGTGTCCTGAGTGCCTGGAATGACGCCTCCTACACAGAGAGCAGCCCAGAACGCTAGTTGAATAAATGAATTAACCGACATGTATCTGCGAAGAAGTAGGGGTGCTGCCCAGGCCCAGAGGACAGCTAAGAGGGAGCACCTGGGAGGATGACCCTGGAGGGTGAAGGTCTGCACACGCCTTGTGGGCAGTGGCCAAGCAGAGGGTCTCTCTGAGCCAAGAAGGGCCACAGCCAACCCATATTTCAGAAAGATAATTCTGGCCAAGGCGGCTTTTGTGTTTCCATGTGTGATGTGTTCAGGCGTGTGTTCGTGGCTGTGGACATATGTGCGTGTATGCTGTCCTGGGGTGTGCATGTATGTGCATTCCTGTGTCAGGTATGCTCACGCGTACATGCATGCATATGGGTGTGGCAGGTGCACACATGGTGTGCACATGGGGGCATGTGACTGCATGTGTGCGTGAGCTTTGTAGGTTCTGGGGGGATGAAAAGGACACAGGATAGCAAAGGTTAATCAATAAGCAACAACCATATTTAAAAAACATATAAACAGTGAGGCAACTTTCCCTCTGGGTTTAGGCAGTGGGGGAAGACATGTGGGGAAGAGTCAGTGGTTAGCAAACCTGGTCAGAAGTTCTGATTTCTGGACTGACTCCCTAACGCCTCACTGATCCCCCAGCTCTACCAGCTCTGTGATTTAACTCTTCACTTTCCTCCTTAACCAATTAACTCAGCATGCAGGCTCTGCCCAGCCCCAGTGCCTTTCCATGGCTGTTACTTATACATCTTCCATGGCTCCATTCTCTCCTCCAGGCCTCCTTGGGGTGTCCCACTGTGACCCCAACCTTAGTGAGCCACTGGTCTGACTCACCAGTTCAGTTTCTAGCACCACATTTAAGTTCTTAGCCCTACCTGAATTGCTCCTTCTTATTTGCAAATTTGTCTTTTTTGCCCCATGAGGTTGGACCTTGTCTATCCTTAAAACTATATCGCTCTGTCTAAAGTCCCCAGATCAATTCCTGGAACTTCATGAGTGACCAATAATTATGCAGACAGGGAGAGATGCAAGGACGGAGCAGCTGAGTAAATAACTATGTTAGTGCTTATGAACTACATTTACTAAGGGAGAAATTTTTCATTCTTATCATCATAAGGCCTCGAGCAAGGGAAGGGATCCTGTTTTCCTTTCTTCAAACTGTTGCTTCCTGCTCTCCTCTGTCCACATTTGTTTCAACCCACTGCAGGGAACATACAAATGGGAAGACACTAACTTGGAAGCAGTCCTGCCCAGGCTGGCCTTGCCCACCTGTTTGGAAGCAGGCACCGCCATACCTGCATGGTGTTCAGGGCATGGCCCCTTCCTAAATGATACCCAGGGCAGGTGCCTTGCTCGCAAACCAGTCTGAATGCATAACGGGCGAAGGACTCACACTGAGTGCATTCAGGCAGACACCCTTGGGTTCCAGTTGGTTTATTCCATGCAGCAATCCAGGGAAGGGTCTTACAGACCGAAAAGGGCCTGGTTCATCACTTCACATTTCAACAGCAAATTTACCCTGACTCCAGAAGTGCATCTCATCTGCATAAAATACTTCCATTTTAGAAGTTGAAAATCCACATTTTACTTTTATTTTTCAGGAAAATTTTTCTATACAGAGAAGCTACAGAAAGTAAGCTAAGAGTGGTGTTCCTAGACTCAAATCAATTGCTGTTTCTATCGCCTGCTTACTTTGTGGTCTAAGGTAAGTTACTTAGCTTCTCTGAGCTCAGGTTCCCCCAGTTTCTTCTCGTGTACGTAAAGGGATATAGTAGTCCCTAACACACTGGGTACATGTGACTATTAAATGAGTAGATGCTTGTAAAGTTTGGACAGTTTCTTACTAAAATAATATCCATAGCACCACAAAAGCAAGTAAATCCCTATTATGTTCAACCCTATGTATAGAGCATTCTATAGTACGAATAATCTGTAAAGTGTTAGACAGTGTGAGATTCCTCAATGTGGAAAATGCAAAAGCCAAACAGATGATTTATTTATTATATTAGGCAACGAATGCCTCAGTGCAGGTCTTCACACTATCTCCACCTCCACACTCATTCATCCACAAACTACCATCAAACCTCACCGCGATGTGCAAAGCCCAGGGGACACTAACAAGAGAGAGGAGGGACTGAAAACACACAAACACACACACCCACACACACACTACGCTTGTTGCTCCCTCCTGAATGATGTGTGTGTGTGTGTGTGTGTGTGTGTGTGTATACGCATGCACGTGCACAGTACTGGGGATTGAGCTACAACCCTAGCCCCTTTTAAATTTTTTTGTGTTTTGAGACAGAGACTCACCAAATTGCTCAAGCTAAACTTCAGCCTGAGATCTTCCTGCCTCCGCCTGCCCGGCATGCTTTAAAAATCACCACATATGGCAAGTAGTCTTCATTTCCATGCCAATCCCATGGTCCCAGAGACACACAGGCTGAAAGAAGATTTCAGCAAACACTTCTCACTCCTCTCAAATCCCCCTTTTTCGCCTGGCCCAGCATAGCCCATTTCACTTAAAAAATGTGGTTCCAACACCACTAAGTTGATTTCCCAGCCCACTAAGTGGTGGTGACCTATTGTTTGAGAAGCACAGTCAAGTTCAGGCTTGAACAGGATGAGTCCTGACAGATGAGACTCCCTGGTGCCACCTTGCCTTGTGCTTGCCTGGGCTCATTCCGGAGCATGACCCTGCCTGGCAAGGGACAAGACGTCTTCCCGGAGGCTGTGTCCTCTCTGAGCTCCCTGCAGGCTCCGCCTTGCTCACACTCAGCCACTCTCATTCCATAGCCCTATTCACCGTCGCAACCCCAGTCTCACTTGTGTGCACTGCACTTGGCCCTTTTTCTCTAGTAATTTTCTCCGTCTGAATTGCACCGTGCCTCAGGCTCTACAGCCTTTATTCTTGATGACTTAGCAAAAGCCCACTTCCTCTTGAGTAGAGTCCTTTCTACTCCCCTCTCTGATTTATGTTATATTTTACTGGTATTAGCTGAATGCTTAGAGCATCTTTAATCGCTACGATTAATCTGTAGGACATATATAAATAATCCCCTAGGGGTTCGCGGGGCTCAGGATTTGCACCTGATTCAGACCTTGACTGAACTATTCCAGGCCCGGGAAGCCTTTGACGACTGCAGGAAGTAGCACTATCTGTTTCTCTTGCACTCACACATACATTTTATACATATTTCTCCATCGAACTCATTTCCCCTTGGTGTATCGGATCCGTTTATCCAGATGCCTTTACCACCAAAGTCTAAGTCCCCTGAGAAAAGGAGTTCGTTCCGCTCACCATGGAATGGCCGACATTTACAATATCCAGGATATAGTAGACGCTGAGCCAGTATTTAGTGAATCAAAGAATCTCTTTTTTACATCTAAGGCACCAGGTAACGAGTGTGATGTCACAAGCCTTATGAGTCACAGTATCGAGTGGGAAACTATGTATGAGATTTGAAATGCTGCAGCCCAAATTTGTTTGCAAGTACAAAAGTATTAACTAAAATTCTCACCGATCTAAATGATTTCCCTGGTCCATGAGGCCCCTATGAGCCAGTCCCTCCCGCCCTTGCTCTTCCTTCCCTTCTCCGTCTCCTTTTCCTACCTGCTTGCTTCACTAGGACCAGACTTGGCTTCTTGCTGGTTTACAAACCCGCCGCATTTCCATACCGTGACCTTTGCGGCAGTCTAAGTAGCCCTCCCTCGTGTTGTGGTCGACTCAGTTACCCCAGTCCGTGTTCAAATGTCACTCCCACCTCTGATCCCCGGAATAGCCTAGGAGCCCACGGAGCACTGCCCTGCGTGCAGTTCACACAGCCTCGAAAGAGCAGACTGCGTCTCTCTTCCCAACTTCAGACTTAGTGATAACCCACGAGTAAACTGCGTTTGATCACTGTGGGGCATTCACATAATGGAAATCAGCGCACACCACAGAGCGGTGTGTTTGCTGTTGGTCTTCTGAGAGTGGGCTGTTAAACATTTATGAGGGCTCTGGCCGTATCCTGTTCATCATAATTTTGCACGTCCTTCCCACGCTTCTTTTTTCTTCCCTGGCCACTCGCACAAATAAGAAACTTATGTCTTGCCTTTCTGTCCATTGAAAAACTGACCCATGAAGCGTACTTTAGCTCATTCTATGCTGCATTCACGCTATCTTATGTGGACAATAAATATTTGCCCACCAATTGTCACCTAACATTTCCCAGGCAGAGTCTGTGGCTTGTCCTATGGGTTCCATGTGCTTGGATATTCCCATTCTTTTCCCCCCCTCAAATTTTTTTTCCCCATTTGATAGATAAAGAAACTAAGACTATCTAAAATTGAGGTAAAAATGACAACAGAAAAATAGCTCTGTGGAGGACCCACTGCACACCATCGGGGCAGAAGGATTGAACCAGGTCCCTCGAATGCTCTGTCACCTGTGCTTAGCCTTAGGCATTGCAAACGAGGTCTTCTGAGAGAGTGGGGTTCTCTGTGCCCATCAGCTCCACTGGGGCGAGTTCCTTGAGAACACAACCGTGGCTAAACTGTCCGAGTTTAATCTATTATTGTGATGACTCTGAGAAAGCCATTCCTTGGGTTGTCCTGACTTGCAACATTTCCCCAGTAGTCCTCAAAGTTATGCTTCTGTTTGTCAGATTAGCCCTCCTGCTGTTACTTTTAGAGGGTGTATTCAGCCAGCTCTGGCTGGAGGCTGGAATAGATGAATGGATGCATAAATGAGGGAGGGAAAGACTAGCGATACCTGGACAAGAGATTTTAACAGGCAGATGCGTCTTGGTGTCTCGCTCACTTTCAGAACCCCTGAGACAAACTGCAAATATCACTGTACTTTCCAAACAGAACAAAGCCTGGAAGCACGTCAGGTTATACAATGAGACTCCAAAGCCCTCGGGTCCGTATTAGTCAATGTGCAAACCTCAGGTTCCTCCTCTGGGGGATTTGCTATGGCATCCCAAGCATTACTTATGTACCTGTTTTATTTTTTTGGTTGTTTGTTTATGTTTTTGTTTTGAGGTAAGCATGTTCTTCAGAAATATGAAGAAATCCTAGATTTGTGTAAAAATGGTGAAAAGGTCCTGGGAGGGATAACCTAGGAATCTATGACAAGGGATAACTTCATCTCAAAGCTCTGTGTTTTCAGTCCTTTTCGATCATTTTTTGTTTTGTTTTGGAAAAGGCAAACAAGAAATCCATCAGTCCTCCAAAGCTTAATTGGGCTTAATTATTACGCTAACTGCATTTCTTTAGCTACTGCAGCTCAGGCAGGCAGATTCTGTACTTTTTCCTAACAAAGCTCATAGCTACACCACCTGCTTCTACTGCATTCTGCTGAGGACTCAACACAGATGTCTTCGGGAACCTAAGAAGTCCTGATTTTTTATAGAGAACCATAATGATACACAACAAAGAAAACCCCTGCCTGTTGACCTTCTTTGCCATCTGCTGAGAACCTGCCTCCTTCACCCTGCACAGGAAGTGTGGCGGGAACAGCCAGAGGCAACATGAAAGAGGGCTTGGAGCAAAGACAGTGAGTGGGACGTGACAGGTGGCCATCATACAGGGTGACATGAGCATGCAACTATTACTTACAGATTCTCTTGAAAGGTCAAGACTGCGAGTTTTTGGTGCTCCATGTAAAAGAAGGCCTCAGAAAACCTTCGGACCTGAGGAATAAAATGATACCAACAACTTACTTTGTAAATAGATGTTATGGTTTAGGTCTAAAACAACCCTGCCAAAGCCTCATGTGTTTGGGAGAGGACTGAATCACCAGTAGATTCACTCATTGATGGGTTTAGTGGATGAACGTGCTGTTAGAAGATAGGGCTTGGCTGGAGGTGCATCACTAGAGCTGTGAGTTGGAAGGGTGTATTATTGTCCCCTGGTCTCTCTTCTTACTCTTCCTGGTTGCTATGGGAATCAGTAAATGTGGTCCATTGGTTCCTTCCACCACATAATTTTTGCCCTGGAGCCAATCAACTGTGGACTAAATCTTCTAAAAACCATGAACCAACATAAACCTTTCCTTTTTTTTTTTTTTTTTTTTTTTTTTTTTTTTGTAAAGGGATTGAAGTCGGAACCTTGCACTTGAAACCCTGAGCTAAATCCCCTGCCCTAAACCTCTCCTCTTTTAAATTGTGGATGTCAGGTAATTTGTACCAGGGATAGGAAAGTGTGTAACACTGTGGACATGACCTTCACTTTTTAAAATTGGCGGTGGAGGAGATAAGTGTTATATACAAACTGTAGGAAAGCTCTCCCTACAGCTAGAGGTCTGAAATAATAGGCTTTCTCCTCTCCACAGAGGCCTTCCTCCTTCAGATCTCTGCACTTAAACTGAGATTATGTAAATAGTTTTCATGCATGTTCATGAATCTGTACCTGCACTGCTTTTTATCATTTTTAATGTAGGTTTTATTCCTTTAACTAGAATATAAGATCTTTGCAAATAGCCACTATAGATACACATAGAATAAATAGAGTTTCCTGAGCCAGCCATGGATGTGCATTTGCTCATCACTTTGTGAACTGTGGTCCTCAGTGATTTGCTCCTCTTCCTCCAAGTGGAAAACCTTTCACCACTGTTTGTACATTACTACCTCCCTATAGGCAGCTAAACAAGTGGCAAAGGCATACACCAAGAGAAATGTATTATATTTGAAGTTTTTTTTCAAATGCTTTTTCATTTCCTTGCTGTAGTGCTGTGGATTAAGCCCAAGGCCTTGCAGGGATAGGCAAATGCTCACCATTGAGTTCTACCCCCAGCCCTTAAGTACTCTGTAGAGTGCTTATGATATCGATATCCATGGTGGTAAGCTCTGCCACCACCAGATCTAGGCAAGAGAGGGACACTAAGAGAGACAGAGCAGAGGTCTAACTGGATAAGTGAGTTGACAGTGTCATACCGCATGCTCATGAAAGACCCACATCATCCCAGAGATCTACAGGCAGGGGCAGTCTCCATGCCTACTCTGCTCAGTACACTAACTCTGGTAAAACTTCCTCAGGAAACCAAATGCATGTACTTAGGGCATTCACTATAGTTAGATAGATAGATAGATAGATAGATAGATAGATAGATAGATAGATAGATATGATATATAGATAGATATATAGATATATATTATATAGATAAATATATTATAGATACATAGATTATATATAGTTTTTTTTTTTTTACTCTCAAGGTGTGGTGTTCCTGGGTCAGATAAGTGGTCACTTGGGAGTGCTGTGTCACCGTGTCCAGAAACTGGGTCCAGAGAGCCATGAGATGGGAGGCCAGCCAGGCAAGGTCCTTGCTGATCTGCTCAGCTATCTTCTCCGGATTGTTCAGCATCTGGGGAGACAACAACGGCAGCAGTCAGGAGTCTTCTTTCTCTGGTCTTGATTGACTTCTTGGATTTCGTAAATCTTGCTCCTCTCTTGGTACTGGATTACACCTCTGCAGCCTACAGGATCCCATGACTTCGGATGCAAGAGTTATGATAGAAATGGCATTAATAAATTATTTGGTAATTCCTCTCTGCAGAATAGCAACTGGTACCCACAGTCTTCCATGGAAGATAAGATAATTCCTTATCTCACACCAGTCAGGTTAAGGATGCACTAGAAATGCCGGATTCTCCAGCCAGCACCCCTCACTTATGAGGGTCAGTTGCCTGCATCAACACAGCGCCATTTCCCACCTTCTCCTTCCAAAGACACCGGGGCCACAACCTGCTCAGATCTGACTACTTGATGCCACCAGGGCTGCAATCAGGCTGCACCTCCCTGGGAACCCTCCTCTCACCATTCAGTTTCCTTTTTTCTCTTTGCCACTTTCAACTTGTTATGGGCCACAACCTGCTCAGATCTGACTACTTGATGCCACCAGGGCTGCAATCAGGCTGCACCTTCTCCCTGGGAACCCTCCTCTCACCATTCAGTTTCCTTTTTTCTCTTTGCCACTTTCAACTTGTTTGTCCTCTAGCAGAGGACCTAGTAAAATAAATTCCATCTTCCCCTATTTCTGCTTAACTCTGCTGTGCTCCAAGGGTAAGGCCGACTGCCTTCACTCTGATCCATCCTTGAGGTACAGGGCCCACTGGGCTGCAGACCTCTCTGATGGCACAGCTAACTATGAGTGGCTCGTTTTATCTCCAGTGTTCCTTCTTACCTGCCTGTGATCTTTAGCCCCCTCAGTATCCCCAGCCCCTAACACAAAGACTGGTAGACTGCAAATTCAGGAGCCCTGTATAGAATAGCTAGGTGACAACAGGAGGCCCAAATGCCTCTTATTCTGTCACCCACAGCATCCCTCCATGACAGTGGTACTCAAACCCAGCATGAATTCTGATCTGAGCTGGGGGGCTGGAGGGGGGACAGGAAAAAAGAAAAAAAAAAGGAAGGAAGGCTATTTACTAAATACATCCTTAGCACTATTTTCCCCTAGCTGATCACAGCAAAGGCTTCTGTAAGGTTAAAGAAGCTTCTTCTAATTAGGCCACAAGAGGCCTGTGCTGTGCTCATTAATGCCCAAGCCTCTGCAAGTGCTTGTGACAGCACAGAAGACTTTCTCAGGAGACCAGTGATAGTCCTTCCCACAAATAAAAAGGAAACTGTGGCCCGGTGCTTGTCACCAGTGAGACTCCCTGAAAAAGAGACTCAGCTCCCCTCATTTGCCACTACCCCACACTCCACTCCATCCCTTAGGTGCTAACCATACATCTCTCTCCACTCTCTACCTCCCTGGATCTGTTTATCAAGTGCCTGATATCCTGACATTTACTACAGAGTAGTAAACACACACAGTCCTGGAAGAGGCATTTGGTCCCATTATGGCCAAGCGTTTAGATGGCTATAATACACCTACACAGTGCAAGATATATGCACCAAGAACCAGAGATAGGCTGTGGAATGTTGCCTGCAGGATGAGCAGGCACTAGAGAAGCCTGTCTTATATTCCCCAAACAAGCTGTTCCTTGAAGGTTCTCAATCTTGGCTGCACATTAGGGGCACCAGAAGGACACAGGTCTACAGCAGTTTGGGACAGCTCAGCATCTCTAGGTGAAGCCCAGACATTTGAATGCTTAAAGTGACTTCCATGTAATCTTAATGTGCATCAAGGGCTGCTAATCCTTTCATGTCCATGACCCTGACCTGGTGCATATTCTCATCTATGACAAAACCCCTCCCATACTGCACGCCCATACACACATACACGAGCGCGCACACCCCTGCATTGTCTGCTCCTGTTTTAGATCTTGGATCAGTCCCACCCATACAGAGAGCTTTTCCTGAAAATTCAAGTGGGCGTCTAGGAATCACAATAGCAACAATGACAACTGACAATTTTAAGGCACTGTAGGCCAGTAGTGTTACGGAAATGGAATCCTTATACCAATCCTAAGAGGTGGTACTATGACCACCAAATCTATTGTATAGATGTGGCAACCAGGCACCAGGAGGTTAGGAATAGTCCCAAGATCCCATAATTAGCAAGTCTGAGCTGATGCCTGGGCCCAAGCGGTTCAGCTACAGGGGCTGCCCAGCTTCCTCTCCATGCTTCTCTTACTGACTCTACCATGCTCCAGATGGACTGGGCTCCTGGCTGCCATCTCACTGCCTGCATTTCATCTGCATGCTCATGTTTCTGCTCAGCCCCTCACTCATGCAGCATTTTAGGGCATACTGGCAGAAGATGTGAGGCTCTCCTGCGAACTCTGCAAAACCTTATGGATATTCTTGAGGGCTCCTGCCTGGGACCTCACTTAAAACCCCCTACTTGACCTCTTTTCTTTGTCTCCCTTCAAATGTTTGTAGGCTCCTTCCACAGTGATGTGAATTTGCACATTTATAAGTTTAACTATTCATATGATTCAGGTCCAAAGGCATGTAAATAACAGAAAGTTGGAGTCTTGGAATTTTTTTAGCCAATCAATGAAAGCCAAGGGCTTGAGTTTGATAATTACTTTGGAAGACTGTTCTTCCTGGTACTAACTGGAGACTCATTTTCATATTTTCTTCAGGAGGTATTTATCAAGCACTTAGTTTATTTTGGGAACTAACACTATATAAATAGTACTTAGTACCTTCATGGCCTAGTATAGGGGAGAAAAGTGACACAAACCATACTTCACTGAGCAGTGGAGGGAATAGAATATAGCACCTGAGGAGACAAGCAAGGGCAAGAGAATTCTCAGATGCCTGGATCTTAGAGCATTCCCTGTGAAGATCTTTGGGGTAGACCTTGTAGGCCAAGGAAGACTATGTCAAGAATAGGACAAGGTGAGTTGCACAGTCCAGAAGAGTGTGCAGAAAGACCTTGGGATAAAGAGCATACACCCCTAGGTGATGATACACAGGACTGCAGCACCTGCGGGACAGGTAAGAGGGGCAACCCATGCTGCTTCCGCCCTAGACTTCCAGGTCAAGTGATCCAATTGGTGACCAATGACTGTGTGCAGGGTGCAATGGGCATCCAGGCTGACTGTGCGGTGCTTCTTATTCTTCTTGAAAGTCCTTGGAAGTGAACCCAGGGCTTAGCACCTACTAGACAAGTGCTCTACCACTGAGTCACATCTCCAGCACTACTGCTGCATACTGTGTATGGGGGGCAGCGTGAAGCAAAATATGGGACTTAAAAGGTCCCTGCCACACCTTGCAGGGACAGAAGCAGCCCTGCTGAGTGGCTTAGAAATGTCACACTGTGGACGGGCAGCCCAGCTTTGCTGAGTCACAGCTCAGCCTCCTGCAGTGGCAGAGAGAGAAAAGGGAGCAGCTAGGATATGTGAGAGTCCTGGGGAAAGAGCATCCCATCCCTGGGCTTTCAGAGTTGAGATACACATTTCCTGGAACTTGTTGTGGAATCTTCAGCCCCACTCAGGCCAATGAATGAAAATCCATATGGTAACAGATGCCCGAGTAATTCCTAGCACATTGAAATTTTGGAAATTCTAGAATTGCAAGGAGAAAAGGCTGTCATCCAAACCCGTCGCTTTTGAATAAGCTCCATGTCCCTACTCACATAGTTGGGCTGGCTTTCACTGAGACTCCCTCTAGAGGTCAGGCTGGACAAAGGCGCAAGAGTTAACAGTGCCACCATGGATGGCCACTCTCTATAGCATTGGTTGCCCCTACTTGTAGGGACGGGGCCATCACTACCTACATCACCCTAGCAAAAGATGGACATGTGGAGAGTGCATGTGACTCTCCACAAATGTATGTATCAAGGGAGTAGCACATAACAGGTGCTCAATTCACACTGATGGCATTGTTCGAAGGGTGATGGCATGGAGACTTGGAGGTTCTCTTGTGTCCTTTGCTCCTTGGAACGTCCAAGCCAGCTCATTTGGCCTCAGGAAGATGAGTGTATTATTGGACCACTGGCCTGGTGAGTATATTTCTGGGCTTAAAAGGGACAATGTTTTCCATACCTTTCTGGCAAGGAGACAGGACAAAATAAAAAAGCAAACCAAAGAAATAAAAGCAAAACTATAAGACCTCCCCCAGCCAAACCCCACAACAGGCTGCCCAGAATTGGTAGCTGCTCACTTATGCTTGCTCACTGCATTTATTCTTAGTACTTCTAGCTTGGAGAGTGCAACTCTGGCAAAGACTATTCAACAACTCGGTGTCTCCCAGAAGCTGATGGGGTGCAAGCAGGAACAATTCCTTTATCATAGAAATAAAAACAAAACAAACCAACCAAAGATATTGCTTTCCAGTAGCCACTCAGCTGGTAGCTGAGCTGCCCCACACAGGGTGGTGTTCACCCTCTCTGGGGAGCACCCCCCTGTCCTAATCACAAAGCCTTGGCAGCTGCTAAACCCCACTTTTTCAGCCCAGCCCCCACATCAGGGCTTCATACTTTATGTGCTGCTGCCATCCTGGTGCCCGCAGTGCTCCAGTCCAATTGAGCTGGGTTCACACTGCTGCTCCTGTGTCTGGAATGTCCCGCTCCTGTGCCTGTCTCATGTCCACCTGCTCCTTCACAGCAGCCTCCCAGAGAGCATCTCCAATTTCTCAGCTCCAGCCCAGATCATACTGGCAAATTCTGCCCTATCTGGGAACAAGTTTGTTGCTCTCTAAGCTGTGAGTCGTGGCTGATCTCTTCCACGCAAGAGGCCAGAACATAGATGCTAAGTAAATGTTTATAAGGTTCACACAGGGAAAATGTTCCTCAGAAGTGATCCTTGGCTGTACAGCTCCAGAATCTCAAATCCTCTCAAATCACCTGCTACAGTTTCCTCCATAAGCAGATACTTGATATGGATATGATCACTACCATTTGGGCCACAAGGTGGTGATGTTCTGCAGGCTGTGGGCTTCATTTTGAAGCTGCTGGGGAAGGTGCATTATCTCTTCCACCCAGACTGCTAGGCCAGTCTTTCCCTTAGCAAAGCAAGGAGTAGACTAATGCTTATCCCATTCATCCTAGTCACCCTTATCACCCAGCCACCTCCCTGCAGCAGCTGCCAAATAACATTTTGTAACAAAATGAAAATAAATAAATAAAAACTAAAAAAGCCTTTGGCAACAACAGCCACTCAGTCCTTAGAGGTGCCATCCCTATAGTTTGGGGCACTGCCTGAAAGCAGTAAGGTGACCAGCTGTCCCAATGAAATGGATTTGGTAAATTCTTGGGTAGGCTGTGTCTTTTCCTCCCAGAGTCCCACCTGAACCACTGTAGGAACAAGGTGTGATTAAACAGCAGCAGAAAGCAGGGGCTTCCTGGGGATCACTGCTTAGTGGGCCACCAAATTAAAGAAAGCCAGGCTCCTGTGTCCACTTATCCTAAAATAATTGTAGACAAGTGAGGACAGCCCTCTCATACTCCCAGGCCTGCAATGAAGACTGTACCAGGGAAATCCTGGATCGAAAGTGAGGATTTCACCTTGCAGGGATATTTCTTTCCTCAGTATTCAAACAGTCTTAACCTACCCACTATTTGCTACCTCAAGATACATTCCCTTTGTAATACTGTGAGTCCTGGAAATTCTCTTTCATGGATATCTTTAGATGCACTGTTAGGATTGTTTTGATATCCTGAATTGATTCAAAATGTTACCTTTTACAACCATTTTGACTCTGAGAAAGAACAAGAAGGAGCAAGGTGCCCTATCAAGTGAATAAGGTGAATGAGAGCACACCATAAGGCTTTTGGAACCCTCTTTTCATTGAATGGCACTCAACAGCAGCATTTACTGTATTTTTTGTCACAGCTCATAAAGACACTCATGAAAGAGGTCTTCCAGAACTGCTTCAGAAAGCGGCAAGAACAATGGGATAAGCGTGTTCAAAGAAAGGGGGACATATTTTGAGCAGGATGAAAATATGTCATTTACTGTAACTATTTTTAAATTTAAATATTCACTGTACATTGTGATCACAAATGGTATGTCCTAAGACTTTCGTGATTTCTGGAATAATAGGAGGAGCTTTTATTATTCCTAAATCCTTTCAACCTTTATAGAGCTTTTGACACTGAAGTGAATTTATATAGGCCTCTGGCCAGCTCTGGGGGAAGCTGGTTTTCAGAAAGTCTAATCCATCTTGAGAAAGTTAAAAGTTTCCCTCAGGACTCTGGGGAAGTGAAAGGTCACGGGCTGTTAGTCACCAATGGGCAAGTTTAACGCATCATGCCTGTGTGTTGGAGCCTCTTTGCAAACCAGTAATGTGGATTGGGAGAGCTTCCTGGATGGCAGACAGACCTATCTAGGAGGAAGTCATGCAAGCCCACACTGGTGCCCCTCCAGACCTCATCCTATGTACCTCTTCATCTCGCTTTTTGCTCATCTGTATCCCATGTAATAGTCTTTCTAAAACGGGTGATGGTAAGAAAATGCCTTTCTGAGTTCTGTGAGCCTTCAATCAAATTGTTGGACTTGAAGGGGCAGATAATTCTCCAATTTGCAGCAGATTGGTCAGAAATATGATAGGCACAAGGCTTGCAATTGGCATGAGAGAGAGGGACAAGCTAGTATGGCTGAGCACTTGGCCTGTGGGATCTGATGCCAACTCAACATAGACAATGTCAGGACTGAACGGGATGATGGGGCACCTGGGAAAATCCCCACACATTTGATGTCAGTTGTGTTCAATGGTAGAAACAAATCTTAGTAGTTCCTTTCTCCATATATGCTCCAAAAGATGTGTCATCTTCCGCTGCCATGGCCTCCTATGACCTGCGAGGTGTGTCCATGTGCCCTGGTATGTTGAGGCACACAGACCTCTACCATTAGCTGCCTGGAGCCTCACTCACTCCAGGCTTCCTCTTCCTAGATCCAGGCTCCTGTCCCACAATCTCCACTTGCGCATTTGCCCTACTGCCTCCACACTCCATCTGCTGCCCCTGTGCAAAATGCTGGGGTTCTGTTACTCCTTCAAGGTTCAGCTCTAAAGTCACCTTCTCTCCAGGTACTGCTTTAGTCTGTCTTCTCCTGGAGACCCATTCACTTGCAGTAACGACATCCTCATCTGCCCCCTCACCAGATCCCTGGAGTGGAATGCACTGGGACAAAAACAGCAGTCACAGTGGGCTCGTGCTGTCCTAAGCACTGCACATGTATGACTTCCTCACTCTAGCAGTCCTAAGTCCTAAGTCCTTGCTTCAGCAGTTGCCTTCACATATGGGAAAGCAGACAGTAAAAGCAGAAATGACCTGCTCACAGCTCAGCTCAGCATCTGGATCAAGGCACCTGGGACTCTGTCCTGCAGTCTAGGAAGACATGGACTCTACAGACACAGGAGAATAGCATAGGAGGAGGGTCTGGTGGTCAGTAACCAAACTGCTAAGTCCAAACTCATTTTGTAAATGAGTCAACAGGAATAGGGAGGCAATGTTAACCACTCTGGTGCTAGTTACTCCAGCACCTTTGGTGGCCCCTATGTGTAGTTCATCAGTCATTCTAATATGTATTAAAAACTTATTCCTAGCCAAGAGGTTTTCCAAACAGTGGTAGTACCTATATGAACCAACCATTCCCCTAAATCAGGGCTCTGGAAGAAAACAAGGTAGCCATTAAGTCTCCAGAGCTAACGCAAGACCTAGAAAGTGGTGGGGACTTGGGCAATGTTTGCCAAATCAAATAAAACCCTGCATACTGACATCAGTAATAAGCAATAGACTGAAATCAATGCTGACAAAGGACAAATAAACCATGGAAGCAAAAGGAATTTGGTCACACCACATTCCCTGTATGTGGAACAATAGAACATCCTTTATGAGGAAGGAAACACCAGCCACAGCCCCGTGACAATTATTACAAACACCATAGCTAACACTTTCTCTATTCTCTGACATGCCAGGCCTCATGTGAGGCTTCACAGATGTCACCTTTGTTGCATGCCATCAGTTCTGTTTCATGGTGTGCCCACAATGTGGGAGAGCAAGGGACTCAGCAGCACAGGGGCATTGCTGTGACTCTGGCCAAATGGTTATACCTGCATGAGTCAAGTCCTGATTATTCATCCACTGGGCATGATATGAGGGCTTGTTTCATAGAATTGTTCTATTAAGTAACTGAGGAAATGCACAAAAAACAGCAGCCAGGAACCAGCAGCTATGCGCTGCGCTCACTGGCTAAGAGAAAAACATGTGGATCAAAGTCAGATGACTTCCTCTATACGTTACAGATAGGGAAATCAAGGTTCATAGAGATTTAGCAACTTGTCCACGGTTGCAATAAGTCATCCTGAGTCTTTCTTCTAGCAACTACCAGCTGTATACTCAGGCTTAGAATCCTGACTTCCTTATAGTTTTAATGTGCCTCCTGTGTATAAGGATAAGGCTTCTTATTCAGACCCTCCATTGCATGGAGATATGAAAGTGTCCTTGAGATTGCAAATGACAACAGCATGCACCTGTTATTGTTGGTCATGAGTTCCTCACGCATTCAAACATTCTCAGTTCGCATTGCTGTCACCCAGGCCCCACAATGAAACTAATACATTTTTCTCTTGTAAGTGGCTTGAGTTATTCTTCCCTAGCTAAATTTAAAAGAAGAGAAGGCATTCTTTCTTATGAACCCAGGGAGAACCTCAATAAATTCTCTGGTTTTCTATGCTCTTGCTTTTGTCACTGATTTTAGAAGCCATGCAGTGGACCGGAAGTCACATACCCCTGTGAGCTTCTTGCAGATAGCCCTCCTGATGCCTGGGTCCCTTGTTAACAGTTATTTACATTGCTTTCTGGACATGTGAGGAAATATTTGTCTAGCTCCAAAAGGTCTGAAGCACTGATCACATCACTTGGGCCACTCAAGGGCCAGTGGGTAACCTTTGGAGGTCTGAGGGCCAAAACTTCACCCTCCAGTAAAGCTAACACGGTTATCACAGTCATCTTAGAAAGAACCACGATATCGGATTTTGCACGTACAGATCAGCTATTTCTTTCCTTTCCTCATTCTCTATTCCCTTTTCCCGTACCTTGGACTACCCTTTTTCTTTTGCCTTTAAAGATTCCTACACCTTGTCCTTAGGGAGAGGCACATGAGGCTTGTCCAAATTTCCATGCATGCCTGGTGTCTTGTGAAGCATTTTTTCCTCTTTTGTGAAACTTGCAGCCTCAGGGATGGGTGCAATGGGCAGAAGAAGGCTGGCTGGATACCGTGACTCCTTCCTTTCCTCAAGCCCAAGGTTAACACTCTACTTACCTGCAGTTCTGAGCACAGCTGAGAGAGCGTTTCTTCAACTGCAAGTGCCTCTAGGAAGGAGAAAACAGCAAACCATTAAAATGCCTGCACACAAATGTCACAGTTACTGGTTAAAAGAAAAAGCCTAATTTTCAAGGTAGCATTGAAGCCACAGAGACAGACATAACATCTGCGGACTCTCCTTATTGTGGTACTAACAGTTCTCTCATGAAGAGAACAGACCGGAAACCATGACTGAGCACTAGGTAAAGGCCATCACCATGTCACGATGCATTTATGAGAGCAAGTAGATTCTCCCAACTTGTGTATCATGCGATGTGATCCAAATAGTTGGCAGATTTATTTGTGCTCTCTGAAGCGTGTGCACACACACACAGATACACCTGTGCAATGGTAATGGGGCACAGAATTGTATCTGCATCTTGCAGATGATAAGCCAGAAGTGCAGAAAAGTGCAAAGGCAGGTTTCTGCTTACTGTCATCTCCAGGGAAACTGATGTGAACAAACATCATAACCTGCACGCCACCAAGAGTGGACCCTGTGCTATGCCATCTGACCAGCAGGGATAGGTGGCTTCTGTCCTTTGTGACTTGATGGTGACTGTTTGCACTCTGTCCTAGTTCCATGAGGCCATAGTGAGTTATTTGCTCATGGCTGCGGTATCTGAAGCTCTGCAGCCAAGTGAGTGTGAGCAGATCCTCCCCAGTTTGGCATCATGCAGAGGACCCTGGGGACATACTTAGCCCAACTGCTGACCACTGGTCTGTGAACCTCATGGGGCATAATAAATAGAATGTCATGTGGATCACAACTTTGTCCTCAGTACCTAACACAGAGCCTGGAGAACAGTATGTGCTTGGTAGAGATATGATGAGCAGATGAAGAAACTTGGATCCTTGGACAAAGAGAAAGTGTTGTATCAGGAAGCAGACTGCTGCCAGACAACATCCATTTTCCCTCCAAGCTAGGAATCTCGCTCTGATTTTGTGCCAATCTCTATGATATGCATAAAATTCATAGCTAAGCACAGGCCAAAGGTTGCCTCACTCAAGAGTAGTCCTGCAACCAGGACTTGGTCAGGACTTCACAGCTGATACAACTGGAGGGCAAAAGGCTTTGAAATTTAATGCAGTCCCTGCAATGCAGCACCTGCTCTTCTGCACCACATGTCAGGGACAGCATACAGGGGAGCCAAGGTGATCTTGCCCTCAAAACCCAAGCCTGGTGAGGAAGCCAGTCATGCAAGCCCCTCACTATTATATGATGAGTTCAAAGCCAAAGGGATCCAATGGTATCCAGCAGCATTCTGACACTGACATAGGCATTAGCTCTGAATTAATACAGATTCTGCTCTAGAAAACTTTAAGCAGAAACATAGAGGGCCCTACCCCAGGGCTCAGTGGAGAATCTCTGAACCCTTGTCACAATTCTTCCACACATTTCTGTGTGACCTTGAGTAGTCATTCTATATTTCTGTGCTTCACATAGATCATCTTTCAATCAAGAGGGATATAGACTAATAATCCTCATGGTATCCAACCTTTGGAAAATCCATATGCAAGATTTAATTTGTCCCCAGAAAATCAAATATGATGGGTAATAAAAAGTTTCTATAGCCATTCATGTTTTATATATGGATATGAAGTATAAGAAAAAATCGCCAGAAAAATTCACCAGAAAGTCAGGATTATAAAATCAACACAGGTGTGTCCTCTTCCACCTGTTCACCAGATCTGGTACTGTTTAACATCTGCCTGTTCCTGAAAGCCAAAACAACCATGAAAGGTAAATACCTTGAATGGATTCAGGACATCAAGGCAGTCCTGCCCAGAGCAACGAAAGACACTCAGGAAAGAAGACTTCCAGAACTGCTCCAGAAAGTCACAAGAATGATGGGATTAGTGTCTTCAAAGTGATGAGGAAATTTTTTGGAGAAGATCAATGGCAATCTGTCTTTTACTGTAATTTTTTTTAATTAAACATTCACTGTATTTCCCAATCATACTTCGTAATGTATGTGTCTATACAGTTCTTTACTGTAGAAATTAGCTTTTTATTAGAGTTGTTTTACACTCGTGTAAATTGCAATCTAGTGATTAAAGCCTAAGAAAAGAGTACGACCTTAGTACTTTCCCGAAGAAGCAATTTAACATCATGCACCAGGCCTGCCAGAAAGGACGTGTGGATGGATGGATACACCTTGGACACGTGTGTCTTTCTTGAGTGCCCAAGATTTTCTCCTATGGAATGAGGTAGACCACTGCCTGAACAGCAGTCTTCATGATGGCATTTACCAAGCATGCCAATATTTCTGCCATCCCACTCCAGAAAGGGAATGTGAGTTTCTGGGTGGGCACCTCCCTGCCATTTACCCTTACCCAGATCCATGTGGGGCAGCTCTGGGATGTCCTTCATGATGACCAGGAAGTAGAGGCGAAGTCCCCGGTAGGCTTGGAGGAGCAGGAGACACAGGTCGCGGTGCCATTTGTGTGCATGCTGCATGCAGTTCTCCGAGGGGACATAGAAGCTTCCCTGTGAACATGAGACAGAAATGAAGCTGAGGACCATGACACCTGACCCAGGTTGCCCGGGGCTCCTGCACACTATGTGTTTGTTTCGATATTCGCAAGATGTCTGGAGGCCCAGGAAAGCAAGTGCTCTCTTTAGAGAAGCTGAAAAGCGCTGAAGATTCTGAGGTGAATCTCTTCTTTATCCTCCTATGTGGGAAAAGTAATAAATTCTGGTAGCCCCCCTATTTTAAATCAAGTTCAAGTTCAAGTAATAATAATGCTAATATCAAAAGATGAAGGCGAAGATGAGGATGTTAATGGCTCCCTGACCTTGGAGGTTTATGACTGTGACACTCCCATTCACAAGCTCTTTTTCCAACTACTGCAGGGTACATGACAAGAAGGACTGGAGGCAAAGGAGGAGGGCTCCTTTCCATGGGAGACAAAGGCTCTTGGAGCAGGTGAGAGAGAGATGCTGAAAAGGAGAGTGTGCCCCATGCAGTAGTGAGCAGCACGGAGTTGAGTCATAGATGTTGGAAGAGCACCTTGAGGGAGCCCAGGTTAAAGTGTGGAGAGCCAGAGTGCTCCGTGCATTCTGCTTTGTTGGTTGCTCCACAATGGATTAAATTCACAGAATTACAACATGGTTTATCTAGGGGAAAAAAAAACACAAGTCTACAATGGATTTATATTTATAATGAAAAGGAAGAGATACCAATTTTGAATTTCTTGCCAACCCAAGAAGAAGACAACCTGCGGAATTTCAGAAAAGATTGCTCCTGAGAGTAGAGAAAGAAAAGCCAGGAAGAAAGGCTTAGTGGAAAATAGGAAGTAGTACTGAATGAGCTGGATAATTTGGTGATCTGCCTGCTCATCTACTGTCTACACAGCTGTGAGGGGAGGAAGCAAGCCTCACCACTTCCTCTGTTCTTTCCCTGTCCTGCAGGAAGAAAGTCCAGTGGGGAATTTGTGGAATCTCCTCTGGACAGCCTCCTGCCCCACCTGGTCTTGGTTCCCTCTGGTTCCACCTGAGAGGGCTAGAGGAGTCTGATAGAAGTTAACCACCCACACTTCAACCAGTGGTGTTGTGTGGGCAGACAATGTGTCCAGTAGGATGTGGGATGCCACAATCAGGGGACCTAGATGAAAGGCTCAGGTCTGTGGTCACCCATCTCTGAGACTATCATAAATCATCTCTCCAGGAAAGAGACTCATAAGGCGAGTTGTACATACAGCAGCACTGCCTATGAGGAGGAAGATGGGGCAGTGGGAGGGGTGGGATTGCCCTCTTATACAGGCATTATAGAGTTCTCGCTGATGACTGGGGGCTCAGAGTTGTACAGACGTCCACTCTCAGGGCCAGGGTCAGATCCTGGGAGGAGATGCGATGTTGGATGAGCAGTGCTCTAGACAAGCAATTCTCAGACCTAGTTGCTTTCTGTTGGCCCCAACATCCCCAGATGGTGAGGAAAGGTGGGCTGTAGGGTCTGGACAGCACAATGAAGTCTACTGAAGAGACCCTCTATAGCAACCTCTGTTCTTCAAGGCCTCACTTTCTCAGCTTAGAAATGGGTGCTGGATTACACAGTTGCCAGATCCCTTCAGATTTGAACTTGAGACATATTTAACAAGGGTTGCAGTCTTTTGACATAATCATGCCCATGACATATGCCCATGATATAATCAGAAAATTTAGCCCACTAGAATGCTTGTGTATGCCCCACTCTCAAGGAAATCCATATATTACTATCTCATCCTTCCTATTATACCAGCATCAAATACGGATAAGCTATTGTAGTTGTAGAAAAATCAGCAGAGCTTGTGCACAGCAAGGAGGCATATCCAACTCCCCAGGCCCATGGAGCAAAAGAGCCATTGCTCATGAATCACATGGGTAGTTCCATTATACGTGATCTCGTTTGACCTTCAACTAGAATCACAAAGGGCAGACACTCCAATTTTGGGTTTTAAAATAAAATGTAACTTCGGAAAGACAAAATCTCAGTGTCACCAAAGTGAACACATACAAAATGCCCAACTCACCAGAGTCCAATCATTTCTTATAGATCCTTCTAGGAGACTTCCATAATATATGTGTAGGTACAGATGATATAGTACCTTATTATATGTAGGCATATTCTGAAAACATGGCCAGGCATTCCAGTGAGCATGTTGGGGACATTTCCCTTCTCTGGCTTTTACCATGTAACCACCTTGGAGTTTTTTTCTGAGCAGAACAGAGAGTCCATATAAAGAAACCCAATTTCCACTTCATAGATCCAAATATAATGACTTGGATTAGTACACTCTGCTTGACAGCAGGAGAAATGGGCTTCGAAATCAAGGTACTGAGGCAGGGCTTCCTTGCTTAGTATACCAAACATGCCTCTGACTGTGCCTGACAGAGAACAGATGCTTAGCAAAGGTCTGCTTGCTTTGACAGAGGCATTCATTTAAGTCCTGCAGTGTCTCCATTAGCCGTGACTGAGCAGAAATGAAAGCAGAGAGGGGATTATAAAGGCATCAGACATCGTAGCTGCAAGTCCCCATTTCGTCTGCCTCACACAGCTGTGAGAATCCCATTTTCTGTCCGGCTTCCTGCTCACAACTCCATCCATTTTCGTCACCATGCCCTTGTTCTGAAAGTGGTTAAGGACCCAGGGCAAGGAGTCTGTGAAGTCTGTTATTACATTTGATTTTTAAAACTGGACGTGAACAATATTGTATAGGTTTCTCAAAAGAGACACAAAGAAGACCCATAGGAGTCTTCATAAGGCTGATTCAATTTCATTATCGAGATAATAGGAAGTCTACACACTAATTCAAAGAGAAATCTTGAAAACAATTTGGCTGGAGATCATTATTTAAAAAAAAACAAAAAACAAAACTTCATTTTCTATAAATTACTCAATAACAGCTTGACTCTTTGAAAGTGAGTAATAAGCTGCAGAAAACTCCATTAGACAGCGCTCCGGGCCCACAGAGGCCCTGCCAGTACAGAAACGGCAATGAGTGCATTTGAATTGCACAGGGGAGATGGAACAGCTTCACACAATCATCCTAGCACAAAGCGAGAACATTTCAGCAACCCACTGCTCAGAGACTGGACCACAAACCCTATGTAGGAAGAATAGGATGCAGGTATTCCAGGTTCCCCCTGGGCTGCACATGAGCTGCATAAAGCAGAGGTCCTGCCCAGGGCCCCAGCCACATCAGATGCACCAGAAAAGAGCTGTCTCCCACTTTCTGGAGCCGAATTAAGTCCAGTGCAAACACAATCATTCTTGTACAATGGGAGTAAAACATAGAGTCTGGAGCATGGGCAGCAGGGCAAACCACCCTCATTTTGAGACAAACCCCAGCTAAAGTTCCAGCTTTTATTATTTCTACCAGTGTCACCTTGGACAGGGCTCCTCCGCTCCCCACAGTGCAGTGCAGGGACATCACCTGTAAAGAGGGGACATGACGGTACAAGTGCTTCAGAGCTACTGTGAGGCATAAGTGAGCCCATCCAGTTGAAATGTTGAAGGATGCCACATCCCAGTGGAAGGTCAGTGCATGCAGGCCACAAAGGACCCTTTCCCGGGTGACCTCTGTGAACAAGTCTATGGTTTGTGCTGCTTAAGAATCAACAATGACCCACCTCTGGACCCAAGCATATACCTTAGCTCAATGCACATCCCTTGGGAGCTCTGTAGGGTTGTAATTTAGTTTGAACAGAGAACCTACAGTCAAATTTGTTCATGGATAGGGGCCTCTTTATCTGTGACTGAGGTAGTCCCTTAACATAGGAAGCATTGAAAGTCAGCATAAGAGTAACACAAAAGTGCTTAGAAGAGTGCCTGGTGTATCTTTAAGAAGTCCTGCTTTTTACTACATTTATTACTTACCAGAGTATATGAAAATCAGACCTAGCTAAGCTTGCTGTGGACTCTTATGTTTATGTACACATTTCTCAAATGTACATGTCTAAATCTAATTCCTGCTCTGGGCTCCACATCTTTGGATTCTACCCTTGATTGGAAAGTTTGCCTGGTTTTCATAAAGCCATCCTAAAGGAGTTTATCAAGTCCCCTTTACCTCACCTTTCTCTTCCCTCTGATCTTCTTCAATGGACCCCACTTAACCCATCACCCAAGAGAGCTGGGAAATTCTCCTGAATTCCAAACTTCATTCTGATCTTCACAATGAAGATGTTACCTACCTCCAAAGCTTTCTCCTTTTTGTCTTTGTTTGATTTGTCTAGACTGCTTACTTGAATTACTAAAAACATCTTTCTGGGTCTCCCAGTTCTGGTCTCACCTTCATGTGGAACTTCCGGCTGTGCAACTTATCCTGCCTCCTCTCCTCACTCACTATTAACAAGACAAAGTACAAAATTTTTGGTTGGCATTTAAGGCTTTTGCATATTAAATTCTGACCATACAGCTGTACTGAAATGCTGCTTCTGTTTCCCTCCATGATTCCAGATGCCTTTCTCCTGTGCAGTTCTGTCACATGGCTTCTTTTGTATCCCTCAGTCAGACCTAGCTCCTACTTACAACTGAGACTCAAGCAGAGGTCCCCTCCTCTGAGAGCCAATCCAAGTAGCAGCTGCTCTGTGGTACCTCACAAGACCAGTTATCCCTTCATCTATGTCTCCAGGCTTTTTGTACACCTGCAGGGCTGACACAGTGGCTGTTTGTCTTGGAACTTGACATTTCCAGCACACAGTGTTACTGAATACAGAGTGCATGGAAAGCTAGGCTCCTCTGCAGGGCCTTGCCCTCCACAACCATTCAGACTTGGGGAACATACAGGTGGCATTCACCATGGGGCTGTAATTCATCTGTCTCACTGCCAGGTGGCTCTGACTTGAATTCCATTGTCTGACCAAGCCACCTGATAGAACAGTCATGCAAAATACAACCTGTGCTTCAAGCCAGCTGGAATGTGTTAACATTCAACTCACCCTTACCTTTGCCTGCTTTAGAACTGTGGGACTCACACACAATTTTGAAATCTGGATTAGGATTTCCTAGA